GAGATGCATCAAGTATGCACGTCAAGTCCTGCATTTGGCAGCCACAGTTCCACGTAGTTTCTCAAGTTCCTGCACGCAAATGAATGCTGTGGTTGTACTTTTGGCGCCCTTTTTTGCAAGACATCGCAAGAAGCACATATCATGCTGTGCAAGAATAATTTACAGCATCGTCGCGTACCGCGTACCCACATGAATTCATTATGTAGGACTATTCTTCATATATTCAACGGGTATTCGGTCTGTATTCCTCGGGCATGCACTCTGTGGGGTCGCGCTTTGGTGCCAAGTGGTGGTTACATATAAGGCCACATGACTGCGCTTTAATTGTTTCTGAACCTCTACTTTGACCACACCCTTTGCACTGCCCGATGGCCCCAGATCCTCCGTGCGCATAAAAGCACCCAATTGCTCCTCACCCAACTCATTTCCCCCAGATTCTCCAGTCCTGCCAAGAGTCCTACCCACAACATGCCCTTCTCCGACTCCCCCAACGCCCGCTCCAAATCGATTACAACTGCAGAACTCGACACGTTCGGGGTACTTGTGTTCATACTCGTTCCATTCAACTCCCTCATCCCTCCCAGGTCCTCAACCGCCATGCAGCCAAGAACTCGGCCTACCAGGTCGGCGTCTCCGAAGACAAGGGTACTCGGAGAACAATGGAGGACGCCCACTCGTTCGTTGTCGACTTTGCCGGCGTCCGTGGGCAGGGCTTTTTCGCCGTCTTCGATGGCCACGCAGGCAAGCACGCTGCTGAATGGTGCGGCGCCCATTTCCATGAAGTACGTCATTCGGCTCCTTTCTGCGCGCCTCCTCGCTCATCCTCCGTAGTATCTGCTGTCATGCATGAAGCGCCTCCACTCCATGCCCATACCCGACGTCCTCAATCAAACATTCCATGACGTAGACGAGAGCCTGTCTCGCATGTGCGAGGAATCAGCCGGCAAGATACATTCCGGCTGTACCGCCGTAACCGCTTTCCTCCGCGTCGAGGATGCAGACGGCCAGCAGTCTTTCCTCCCCGCTTCCCAACAAGACAGCGACGACATTGGCAGTCTGAGCAGTAACGAGAGTGCGGGCACCCCGTCCGGCGACGAGGGCAGCTCAAAGAAGAAGGCGCGCCGATCCCTAACCGGGAGCCGCATCCGGAACGCGTTCAAGAGTCTCGCAAGTCCGAGCTCCAGCTCTCCCAAATCCGGATCCCCGAAAACAACCCCACGCTCCCAGTCCCCATCCCCCGGCAAATTCACTGCTGAAGGCGCGACCATCACCATCCCGCCCTCGGCCGCAAGACGCGTGTTGTACAGCGCCAACGCGGGAGACGCACGAGGCGTACTGTGCCGCGCAGGAAAGGCCGTTCGCTTGACATATGACCATAAAGGGTCCGACAAGCAGGAAGCCAAGCGCATCACGGATGCAGGCGGCTTTGTCATGAGTGGACGCGTCAACGGGGTGCTGGCCGTGACCCGAAGTTTGGGCGACGCGTCGATGAAGGAGTTTGTCGTCGGCGCACCGTACACCACGGAAACGGAGCTCTGCGACGAGGACGAGTTTCTGATTTTGGCGTGCGATGGGGTGAGTCTTTTGGACGTTTGTTTTCGATCATTGTCGCTGATAGGACTCAGTTGTGGGACGTTACAAGCGATCAAACCGCCGTTGACCTGATACGTGAAGTGGAAGACGCGCAGGTTGCGAGCCAGACGCTCCTGAAGGACGCCATCGCCAACCACACGATGGACAATGTGACCGTACTCGTTGTGCGATTCAAGAATACCCGTGCATAACGGGCCGTACAATATATAATCGGTGTTTTCTAGTGTACATCATTAATCGAAACTAAGGCGTGGCTTTTTCATCTCGTTTCCCCAAGTTTCTTTCTCCACCGGAAAAGTCAGCGTCCCCAACGCTCAGGTTCCTCACATCGTAGTTGCCTAGAGTTCAGCATGTACAGTTATTTGCTTTGCCGGCAAGCAAAATAAGCACTGCCACAGCGCTCAAAATGCCGATCACAATTCAACGTTGATTCAACGCGTCGACACCGCTTGTCTCTCAACCACCACCATCACCATGCAAGCTCAAGGCCAGTGGCCACAACAGCAGCAATACTACCCCCCGCCCGGTGGGCCCCCCGGGCCAACACCCCAGTATGCTCCTCAATACGCGCCCCCCTCTGAGCCGTTCTTCAACGACACAAAATCACCTTATGAGAACGACCGATTCAAGCCCAAGAAGAGAATAAATGACCCCATTGTCCTCGTCCTTTTTATCCTACAGGTGGGTCTTGTGTCGCCGCGCCCACTAACGCTCGTGTTCAATCCCCTGAATAGTTCCTCGGCTTTGCCGCACTTTCTGGAATTACCATCGCTTCCTGGGTGAAGGACAACGGACTAGGAGGCGGCGTCGGAAAGGTCAGTCAGTCGGCTCTGGGGTCCTCAACCAACGCGCAGCTCACGCACCCGTGAAAGGGCCACGACGGGACGCCCGTGACGCTCAACCAGAGCACTGTGTATCTCCTACTCCTGGTCACCGCCGCCGCCCTGCTCCTGTCCTCGATATACCTCATGCTCGTCCGCGCCTTTACCAAAATAATAATGCATATCACACTCATCCTCTCTATATTGTTAAACGTGTACGGGCGTCCATTTCGCATGTTCATTCCAGCGCTCATATAACCTGCCAACAGCGCAATTTGTAGTACGCATACTGTTCTCTCACTTCTTTCCCACACCGTGCTTAGCTGCTATTCGAGTCTACTACTGGTTGACCAAATACTACTGTGCGCGCTGTTGTTTCCTTCCCTACCGCCCAAACTGACGCGTCCTTCTTAAGCTGGCGCCGTAATGCACGTCTCCCAAATCCACTCAATCCCTCATGGTTGATTAACATTGACGTGGCAGTTTCACCATCATAGCCCTCTTCTCCATACTGAGCTACTTTGGCTTCAAATCCCGCATCCCTCTCGCGTCGCTGCTGCTGCAGGTCGTGATCGATGTCAGCAAGCACCATATCTCGGTATACGTGGTTGCGTTCACCGCACTTCTCTTCCAGGCGCTCCTAGCCGTGTCCGTGCAAATTAACTGCTGTCACAGTGCTTGCTCACATTTCCTGCAGCTGGTTTACATTTGCCGCGATCGCCACGTAAGAAACTCGATCGTTGAACCGAGTCTCAGGCTTCCCTGATACACTTGCAGCTACACCAAATGGACCCCCGGAAACCCCTGTTCGTGCTACCTATTCTGCTGGAAGGCCGTCCCACTCACGGTTTTCCAGCTTGCGCCACCACATCGTGCTCCTCCGGCAAGGTCGCGGGCCTCATCTTCTTTGAGGTCTTCTCCTTCCTTTGGACGTCGCAGGTTATCGGTAACGTCGCGCTCGCGACGCTCGCGGGAGGTGCGCTGCCGTGACTTTCACTCGTTCATTCATCAGTGGCTAAGGCAACGCAAAGGTCCCTACGGCTGCTGGTACTACTTTGGCCCACGCGGCGAAGGTGACATGGTATGAGTCGCATCTTGGCACATGTGTCGACGCACGGCTAACCATGCACAGCCCAAGCACCCCACACTTTCGGCCTTTGGGCGTGCCTCGACCTTGTCGCTGGGTTCGATCGCGTTTGGTTCGCTCATCGTGACGCTCCTTGAGCTGCTCAAGATGGTCCTTCGCGCCGCGGAGAATTCTGCCAATGCTGATGGGCACCGTAAGCGGCCTTTGTTCGCCGTCCTCCGTGCGCTGATGGGGTTTGTTACAGCCGTTGAAGCCTGCCTCGCGTGTTGCGCTGCGTGTTTCGTGGGCATCATCGAGAGCCTTGTGCAGTATTTCAACCGGTGCGCTAATTTTTTTTTTGAGGGTTTAAACTTGAAGCTTATCCTTCTTAGCTACGCGTATATTGAGATCGGTCGGTTTTGAAACCCCTCATTTGAGCGACTCTGTTGATATTAAAGACCCTCAGCGCTCTATGGCAAGCCTTATATCACGGCCGCAAAGGTTCGTTGATATTAATGTCACTCTTCTACCTAAATCTTATGCCGCCACAAACAGGACACTTGGAGGTACGCCTATCAGCGCTCCACATTATATCCTCCTCATTTCTTTTACCAGGTTACTCCAAGACCGCGGCGTCTCGGCTATTGTCAACGACTCGCTCGTCGGAATGAGTGGGTCTGCGGCACATTCTCGATTGCCTGATTCTCATTTTCTTCCACAGCGTTGACATGGGGCGGCTACGCGGTCGGTATGCTCTCCTCGTTGTTCTCGTACCTGTACCTGCGCTGTATGTCTTCTATTTATTTTCCGAAGCGCCGTTGCTGATCGTCCGCGCAATAGTCACCGCCCCGGCATACAACGCGGACGGAAATTACACCGCACCAGTTCTACTGTTCGCCTTTCTCATCGGCCTGCAGTGCTGTGAGTCGCTTGCCCCTCTTCAATTATTTAACACTGACGCGGCGCAGCATTGACTCTATCGTCCGCCATCGAGGCAGGAGTGTCAACAATGTAAGCGCTTTCTTGCTTCTTTTGTAAACCCTGTATCAACGATGCTTGTAGCTTCGTTGGTCTCGGCGAAGATCCACAAGTCCTCGCAATGCGTGCCCCAGCCTTGTTCGCTGTAAGTCTCTGTAAGATTTCTTCCCGGTGTCTCCTCAACGCCATTTTTCAGTTGATTGCCCAGACCTATCCAGACGTTGTGCGAGGAGTAGTATGATGCGTAACCTACCCTGTCGTCGTTCCATTGAAACACGAATATGGGTTTTTTTTTGGAGTTTTTGGAAAACATCTACGACGTGCTGTTCTAACATCGTTGAACTTTTCCCCTCCGACTTGATTCCACTCAAAATTAAATAGTTTGGCGGGAATAAATGGTGCCTTTTCTTTACAATACTATTACCTAGCGACTCTGCGGACTCTGCGTTGTCGTAGAAACTGTGCGCTCGAAATCACGTTTCGCGGAGTATGTTGCCCTCTGCTTGTAAATGTTATGGTCATAGAAACTCTCCCAAAAAGATTGTCCAGGGCCAGAATCGAACTGACGTCAATCGCGGGATTCGCTTACGAAAGCGGGTACCACAAGCGAGCATACTAACCACTATACTACCTAGACCACGACGAAAAGGGATGAATTTCGGTCGACTGGGCAGGGTTTTGCCCGTGTACAGCGGACACAGCCACAAGCGAGACTTGGCGCATGACGTCGGGGCGTCATTTCCCTCATCACTGCTTAAAATGCACAGTACTTCAAGAGCCTCGAGGCCTTCGCCGCAGCAATCCCTCTCCTTCCCTCTCTCCCTACCAAGATGAGAACCACTTCATACGCAATCGCTGCAGTCGCAGTTATCTGCACTACCGTATTCACCGTTCTAAGCCTGACGAGAATTGACTGGAATGTTCTTCATCTCTCTCGTAAATTTCGGCTAACGCCATCCCTTATTCCAGGGTGGTCGCGAACTACCGCAGTGACCCCGTGAACTCCAGTTATCAGGTCAAGTACGGCTTGACGAAGGTTTGCGAGCGGCTCGTGATCGGGCGCAAGTTCGAAGCTTTCGACTGCCGCAAGTTCCCTACTAGGGACGAAGATAGTTGCGATGATAAAAACCGATTCTTCTGTGCTGCATGGTCCAGGTCAGCAATCTTGTTGCCAGCGTTGGTCCGCCTTCTAAAGTATTTCCAAAGCGCCGGTTATGCCGTCGAACTGGCCATTGGATTCGGAGCTCTTTCCCTAGCTGCCATTATCTTTGGTGTCAGCACACACTCTAGGCGGCGAAGAATCTGGCGGGCTGTAGCTGGTCTCGTCGTTCTTCACTCTGCCTTCCAACTCGCTGCCTTTGCCCTTGTGCTGGACATGCATCGCGCTTCCCGGTTCCCGATTACATTCGACAATGCCAAGCTCGGTTAGTATCTTCCACTCGACTTGTTTTCTTGTGCTCACACACAACCGATAGGTCCCGCTTTCGCCTTCAACACCGTCGCTTGGGTGTTTGGCGTCATCACCGCTATCGGTGTCATTGCGACTGGTATGGCTGCTGATCGCGGTCAGCGATGGGCAGCTGGAAGTCGCGCATACCAGCCTATTCTGGGTAATTAATATGTGTACATACTTGTAACTTGTAACGACATACACGCTGTACTTTATTCAAGGCATTCCCGCCCGCATATTATCGAAACGACTCTTCTCATAACGAAGCCAGTTATGGCTTCTGTCTGGCTCACCCATTACCTCTTGGACGACTTTTACCAAGCTCCTCCCCGGTTGCGGCTCTTTGCCAGGTCCTCCTTCCATGCCCTCGCGCAAGCTTCCTTTGTCTCCGCCTGCAAATGTGTGAACTGAATGTAGAAGCCGTCGTTGGCGACGTACTGAGCTCCCAGACCATCATACCGCCAAGCCCCTCCTTCCTGATCCACTCTCCTTTCCATCTGGAAAATACACCAGCTTGAATGCAGAGAGTAGCCTCGAAACAAGGCACCTACCTGGCAACCTCCTCCGTATCAAAACTGATCAATTCCTTCTTCTCGTAGTCGTACGACCAGCTGGCGAGCGCTTTCTCGTCACGGAAGACATGGGAACCGGGCAGAGGAAGGGCTCTGTAGTCGTAAACACCTTGTTCCCAGCTTCCGGGTCCGATTCTGAGACAAGTAAATAAAAGGAGAAAGCGAGCCGTGCATTTATTACCCAGAAAATGGTTTTCCCGGTCCCTCCGTGTTCATGAAAGACCTGCCGTATAGAGGCACACCAAGGATAATCTTGGATCGCTCGACGCCTGATAATTTTAGAATGCAGTTCGAGCGAGACAGACCGAGCGACAAACCTTGAGAAATATACCAATTGACAGAGACGGAAGAGCTAATGGGCCCTCCGAAGACGTTGGCTTGATGGTTCGCGATGCTATCCCAAGAGCCGGCTAAGATGAATGTTTGAGTCACCTGTGGTCAAGCTGAGATACTTGTACTCGCAATAATCGTAAGCCATGAGATTCCAGTAGTCGAGGTACCTGTCCATCTCCTTGACCTGCAATTTGTGGTAGTGGTCAGGCCCGCAGGGGGCGGCGATCTGGTGAGGGTGAGTAATTAACTCGATATTAAAATCAACCAGCAACACCGACGGTTAGAAGAAACCTGTAGTCGGCGCCCTTGGCTCTAGCGTGTTCGTCGAGGCCATGCCTCAGCTCCTTGAGTAACTCGGCATACCCAACAGCTTGTGCGTGGTCCGAGGGATATTCATAATCGACGTCGAGGCCATCAAGCCCAAAGTCCTCCAATAATTTAATGGACGAATGGACGAATTTGGCTCGCAAGGCCGGCGATACGACAACAGGATGAAAACTGGGGCTATACGTCCAGCCCCCGATCGAAAGCAACACCTTGAGATGCCGGTGCTGTTTCTTCAAGTTGTAAAGAGCCTTGAAGTTGCCTGGGCGATGAATGTGTACCCGATGCGTCTCGCCATTTGATAATGAAGCGCACCATACAGGTTGTCTCCACTATCATTCCAAGAATCGCCGGGATAATGTATGTCCTTGTCGGCCCAATCATCTGACAAGTGAACTTCCCCAGTGTCTGCCTTGACATTGGCGAATGCATATAGAATGTGCCTGGTGCGATAGTCAGACGAAAGACGATCACAGCAAGGAATTTGATGTACGTCAAGTCGTGAGGGATCAACGATGGCGGAAACTTTCGTCCATAGATGCCCCTAGAAGCGCACCGTCAACGTTCGAATCATACCTAGTGTAGCACTGAGAGGACCAGTTGACAAAGCTAAAGAAAATCAGTTTCACCAGGTCAGTTCGCCTGTGAATGCACGCAACTATCCCACGGAGAGCTTTCCAGTCGTCATATCGTTAGCAGGCTGAGCGGTAGCTGGTTGTTGAAAGAGCAAGTCTGCGAACGAGCTGCGGATTGGTTGGTTCAACCAAACAGACAGCAGTAGCGATGTTAGAATGAAAGAGGCTGTGAGAATGAAAGTCTTCCAAGGTTTTCGTGGTTGTGGTTCAGGTGCAAGCGTCATTCCTGTGACTAATATAGATACATATAGCACGAAATATTCAAGATGGGTACCAATGTCGACTGTTCTGTCCGCGCCCCCGTGCTCTATTAATACAATTAATGGCCAGCAAGTTAGCATTCCCCAAGAAATTTTGATTTTGGCCATGGTTGATGGAAGTCGTCGCTAATTATTCGGTCAGTCGAGACCAACCCGCATCTTTCAGCGATCACATACGTCCAGGAGGTAAGGTTCGGGTTCGTATATGCCTCCATATATCTGGGGAAAGGTTGAGCCCTCTTAAAAAAGAGGACATTCGTTGCTCACTTGTTTATATAATCCGACGTCGGCTGCGAACCAAGTCAGTATCGATGCATAGTGAAGAAGCCCCAGCGACTAACGAAGTTCGGAGGGTCGCAGCTGAAAAGCGCTTTAGAATGTGGATAGTTCGAGTGAGAGAAGGCCATACCCTATATTTATGGCACTTTTGGGCTGATATACTCGTATATAGTCGCTGGAACGGACGTCAGGACCATGCTGAGGGCAAGGTGGTGCACTCACATTGAAAGAGTACAAGGGAACGGAAGATGCGCAAGATCCACGGGGCCGAAGTTCGTCGACATTCCCAAGTTGGCTATGAGGTACTAGCGTCGAAGTTAGCTTTGTCGCAGTCTATGTTAGAGGCATGGGGATATGGACCATAGGCTCTTGCGAAACTAATCGTGGACCGATTTGGACCGCGGGGTCTGGGCCGACTCCGGCGGCTTTTATGGTCCAGGCACTACGGCAAAGTGAGAAATACAAGAGAAACCGATGGGAACTCGGCTCGCAGTTTATTATTCGAAATCCAGCTAATATAGGCGTCTAGAAAGAAAGAAACAGTTAAACACTGCTCCAGCAATCCTGGGCGAAAAGACTTGCCCACAACTCCAGGTTTATACTCGAATCCATAGACGGAAAAACAGCCGCCATTCTTCTCGTAGCAAGCGGGATCCGTGGACGTGACAACCGACGTCGCCTGTTGTGTGATGCTTCCGGTGAAAGTATTCAGCTGGGAGATTGTAGGATCCTCAAGTATAAAATTGTCGGAATTATTCAACCACTTGTAACCCTACGATATAGCAGATGAGAAAGAGGTTCAATGCTGACAGAAGAGAAAAACAGCGCTAACGGCATTGAAGGGAGCCCATTGAGCACTTTGCGACACTTGGGCAACGAGGTTGGAAGTGATCTGAAGACGCGATGAATGTCAGTCAACGAGGGCCAGAAAAGTGGCGAGTATTTTCACTTGGGCCTAGACAAACGTCAGCTCATCGAATCAAAGCGAAATGATAGTAAGTCCCACCTCGAAAACATCAATTTCCGGTGCGCTACGTCCCACAAATGACCCGTCCGGATTTTGAGGGCCAGGATGACTTTCTCCTGGGCAGGTACAGCTTGAAAGTCGTTGACCTGAAAGGGAAGAACTGCGTTCAGGAAATAAGATGGGAAAGAAGGGGGACGTGAGGACCTGGAAGCCAAGAAAGGTCGCCACCATGGCCCTTGTCCCCGTTGACGGTTGCGGCTTTAGGCAACCCGTTAACGGTTTGATTCGGGGCGACCCCCACATCACAAGAATCGTATGAATATGGCCAATTGCCGTCAAGAGTGGCCCCATAACCCGCACGCCCCAGATTTCCCATGGTCCACACCTGAAAAAGAAAGAGATACGTGAGAAGTGACGACTTCATACTAGTCAACTACTTGCAGCAGGCCAAAGCCCTAAAATGTTGTCGGTCCCCGGCAACCGCACGTTTACTTCGATGAGTCCTGTATATCCCTTAGTTGATGGGGACGAACATGGAAATGGGACGACACACCCCCGGTGAAGCAAAATTTGTTCCTAGAGAAAGGCACGTGATCGCGTCAGAAAAGAGCTAAATCGCCCGGTGTACTTACCAAGTGGAAAGCATGCCTAGATCAGCCATTTAGAACAGTGGTCCAAAATCTCAAAGGCTACGAGAATCGCACCTCCTTGGAAGTTCAAATTATGTGTTTGTTTCGGCTGGAGGGTGATCTCTAGTGACCCGTTGGAGGTGGTAATCGCCGCTGGGTCGTACCACTGAGTCGGATGTGCATGTTGA